TTCACAGGATTTCTCATTCTCACATTCAGCTTTCACGTAGTAGTGTCACTAACTCTTGACAAGTCTTTGAAAACTAAATGTGCTGCTGCAGCTGCTGAGGTCATAGTTGTGAGTTGATATTCAATCTGAGAGACAGGTATTGACCAAGTTTTAGAAGCAACAAATAATAACTTGATTTCTTTTTGATCATTTGGTATCAGAATTGGCTTGTATGAAAAGCAAAGGCCGCTAGATTATTTTATTTAAGGGTCGTGAAACACCAAAACACATTTTTTGAGATGTTGACAGTCATATATGTATCCCACGCTGCTATAAACACTATTAGGACACATATATTTCACTAAAAAGTGAAAATTGGTTGTTTTTGCGTTATTTTGAGCAAATTTGTTTTTCCTGTTTGAAACGAATTTTTGAAGCTGCGTCACGGCGATTAGATACTTGTGTAAATTCCAGAGTGGAGACTGGATGTCTGTCCCTGCGAGTGACGTCTCTGAGTGTGCTGCATTCATTCTTGAGGAAGGCTTTGTTCAAACCAATCAGCGCGCTCCATTGTGTATGCTGTGCAACTTCAATAATATGCACGATAGCTTTAAAGACTGTTTTTACCTGTTACAGTGTTCAGACGGTAGAGAGACGTCACGTTGTGTTGCCAAAACAAGTAAAAGAACAAAAATTTAGAGACATAGGTTGTCAGTGTTGCATTTAATAATGTGCTGCAACGGTTTCGTTTTCATTTCCCAGCTATGAGAGCGCAGCTGGACTCAAGTGTGGATTACAGTGCACGCAACAGAAATCCGTTTGTAACAAAACATTTTTATCCAAGAGCATTTTGCATCTGGAAATGGTGAAATCTGGATTTGCTGCTCGTCTCCTTTTAAAAAAGACATGGTTCCAGTTGCTGTTGATTGTCCTGTCTCTACAGATTTGGTAAGTGTGTGTGATCAGTGCCCTTTGTTTGTTCATTCAGATGGCAAAGTTAGTTTGTATCGTCAGCAGTACTCTTTCAGTTTTTAAAGACATTCCTTAGTCAAAATGATTTATTTACTAAGTTTACAGTAGGTTAACATCACTACAATATTACAGTTCAATATTATGGACTGAAAGATCCACTGTAAATGAATCTGAAGGTAAGCATGTAAACACCTTAAACTATTACCATCATATAGGATTTTCGTCGCATTTTGTGACATGATAGTCTATACACCCACGGCTTTCTGACACTGCCTACCGAGTGCATCTAAGTTAGCGAAAAATGCGAAGGTTTTTTCCTCCCATGTGCCGTGCGGTATCAAAAATTCCATTAAAGTTAATATCTCGTTTGTCATGGGAGGCATGCAGGAAATGTTCCTGAATGAAAGTGAATTGCCAAACTGCAGGTAAAGTCGACAAATTAATAATTTGGCAAATAATTTGATTACTGATGTCCATTTAAACACAGTCACTGTCTCCTCTGCGTCTGTGTGTTTGTTTTGCATCTGTGAAAATCAGCGCATGCCCAAACGAAAATTCCCATTTTTATGCAAAATCTTCCCTCTTTCCCTCCCCTGACACTCTCATCTAAACAGAGCTGGACATACCCACTTTTCTGACTTTTTTCAAACTAGAGGAGTGAAAACACTCTGCTGAAACAGGGGGGTTTTGTGGCTCTTTAAAATGAAATATGATCTTGCCTCGATTTTTTATTATTTAATTAGGTCAGTAAGGTCTGACTTTGCTGAGACAAAAGTCTAGTCACTTAACAGAAATAATGTACAGTATAGAATATAAAGTCATGGTGCAGTGGAAGACTTATTAATATTGTGTATGACTCCCATGAGCTAGGAGGACTGCATCCATACATCTCTGCAATGACTCAAATAACGTATTAATAAAGTCATCTGAAATAGCAAAGAAAGCTTTCCAGAGTTCATCAAGATTCTTTGGATTCAACGTCAATGCCTCCTCCTTCATCTTACCCGAGACATGCTAAATAATGTTCATGTCTGGTGACTGGGCTGGCCAATCCTGGAGCACCTTGACCTTCTTTGCTTTCAGAAACTTTGATGTGGAGGCTGAAGTATGAGAAGGAGCGCTATCCTGTTGAGGAGTTTGCTTTGTCCTGTGGTTTATAATGTAATGGTCAGCACAAATGTCTTGATTAATCAGGCTGTTGATGTTGCCATCTACTCTGCAAATCTCTCCCACACCCCCATACTGAATGTAAACCCAAACCATGATTTTTTCTTCACCAAACTAAACAGATTTTTGAGAGGATCTTGGATCCATACAGGTTCCAGTGGGTCTTCTGCAGTATTTGTGATGATTGGGATACAGATCAACAGATGATTCATCAGAAAAATCTACCTTCTGACACTTTTCCAAATGATCAACGAGACGTCAAGTTATTATTTGTTGCTGTGGGATCAACGACAAGACTTTTGTCAGGTAGTGTACACATATCTTGTATTACTCTAAATAAACAGTGATAGAAACTCTCACACAAGATACTTATATCAGATCTAGAGTGTGTGGAGTATGTGTTGTAACAGGCCGGACACATTTGAGGGAAAGATTTAGGTCATTACATAAAAATCAGCAAGAGACTTTTTACAAAGAAAAGATAATCTCTCATACTCTAAAAGATGTCTTTACAAACATGCAGATAAAACACATGGAAACTCTACTGCTGCCTACTAGCAGAAGTGTGGGTGTAAAAATGAATATTGGTTGTGATGAATATCAATTGTGCAAAATCAACTTGATGTGCATCACCATGCACCAATTCAAACATTTGACTCACTATACTAAAAGTCTCCTGAAGCCATGCGACTATTTTGTGTTTTTAAAGATCAAAAGTCAAGTTGTTATTCACTGTTGTCACTCAAATATCATTCTTTATTGGCGAATCAATGGTATTCAGTGTCATTGACATCAATGTTGGAAAATGTTTGAATATGCATGTACAAATGAGATTTGATAGCTGTTAGTGGGAGAGATTTTCAGTGAGAATTAAATGAATTTTCTGTCACTTTATCATACAAAGTTACTGCTTGGCTTCAAAAGTATTAGTGGTCACATGTTCCAGTAACAGTACTTACATTTTATTTTTAAATTTTTGACTTTAATGGTGCTAGGTGAAAACATTTTAACGAAGTAAAACTACTGCACTGTTTTGGTTTTGAAAAGTTTGTATTTTAGTGCACAATAAATTATTCTTGTTGCTTCATAATATTCAAATTGAAACTCTGAAGACTGAGATAAACTGTTTCAACATAGTTTTTGGTGTCTTTTGGACTTGCTGTCTGTGGATTATCTGATTTCATCTAAAATATCTTAATATGTGTTCTGAAGATGAATGCGGCGACTGGAATGACATAAGGGTGAGTAATTATTGACCGAATTTTCATTTTCGTGTGAACTATCCCTGCTCGGTGGAATTATGTAAAGGAGTAGAGGTTCATGGAGCTATAGCAACAGTGCTGCATTGTAAAAACCAAAAAGTTAACTCAACTCAAACCATTTAAGTTCAAAAACTAATTTTAATGAGTACTGTGAACTTAAACCATTTAAGTAAATGAAGCAATTTGAGCACAGTAATACCCAATAAATGAAAAGAACTCAAACCAACTGAGTACTGTAAAACTCAATAGTTTTTTTGAGTAAAACCAACCATTTGAGTAAAAAAAAACTAACCTATATGAACACTGTGTACTTACTCTATTTAAGTTAAAGTAATGAGGTATTTAATTAACTCATTACCTTCAACACTGAATTCAAAACTCTTTTTTAAATGGGTAGAATAACTTTCAGTCAATTTTGAGTTAACTACATTGATTTCATTTGATAAAGCTGACTGTTGAGTTTTACAGTCTGACATTGTTTTCGGAAGCCAACTGCTAGTTCCACCTTCTAGATGACATCACAGATGTGTGTAAAATAACAAGGCATGACCGGTTGGGATTTAATGTGGAGGCTATATGACACATTTCTTGTATTTGGTATGATAAGAATGTTGTAGTCAAAAATCCACAGTATAACACATAACAAGCCTATCACCCTCTTGCCAATATACTAAAGACTTCTAATATCTGGAATGTTTTCAAATGTATATTTAGGTTTCACAGCGGACAGAACATTTTCCCCAAGTTATCAAGTAAACTGTCCCTTTAAATTCGAATCTCACTATAGCACATTTGAAGTCTTAAAGTTAAGTGGATTTATAAGTGGATAATAAATTTTTGTTCTCCATTTCCCTTTCTCACACCTCTTATGATACCATCTCTAATCGCAGGTGCTGCTAATGAACTGGGCCAACAGGGACGACAGGTGACCATGGGGCCCAGAAGTAGAGTAATGTAATGCGTGCATGTGGGTGTTCTTTGGCAGATAACAAACTAAGGAAATCTCTCCTGCACAGGGTGAGTTATGAGTGATACTGCTCATTGGGAGCTTGTCTGAGAAAGTTCTCTGCAGACACACATCGAGACGGTGTCTTTTATTAGATCTGCGCTGAAATGTAATGGCAGAGATCTTGATCGCCTGTTATAATAACCTTACTTCCTGTACAAAAGTATTCAGCAGAGACCGGCTTACTATTATATTACACATACACACAATTGCATTATGGAGGATCTCCTCTGCTGCTTACTCCAGCTTGAGTTGTGGAGACTTGAAAGGGATTTATAGCAAAACATTGAAGTTCAGTACAAAGAAAGAAAAAGAAAGCACATGGAGCACAAAGACAGAGAATGCGAGTCCGAGGGGCTGGTTTTTAAATGGCTCAGAAAGCAGAGGTGAGCATTTCTCTCAAGCATTCTTACCTCGGAGAAGAAGAGAAGGGCACTGCTTCCTGATTGCCCAGCACTCCAAAGTAATGTACCTTTAAATGTGTCACCTTTACCTTTAAAAGTGCCGGCTGACACCCCCAACCAAATGTGCACACGGTTGGCCTCACACACGCACGCACACACACACTCAAACACACACACAGACAGCCACACAAAAAGAGTGAGAGGACTTACTCACGAAATGGCAGTGACAGACAGGAAGTGAGCTTCTATTGTCAAAAAGGCGAGTGTGCCTAGTCCATTCTGTCTTGTCCTTTCTTACCTCCCTCTCTCTCTCTAAGCACGCTCTCTCGTTTGCTCACATTTGCACCCTTCTCTCCTGCCTTCTCCTCCAGCAGACAAAGAAAGGGAAGGAATGGTACGAGAAAGCAGAAAAAGAGAGAGAGAGAAACAGAGGGAGAGACAGTGAAAGAGGTAGAGAGAGTGGTGCCGAGAGAAGATAGCCCAACCCCCTTCTACCAGCCAGTCTGCTTTCATTTCTTTTCCTTTTTTTGCTTCTCCCTGTAAGGCCCCTCCCCCACCCACCAGCATTACCTCTCTCTCTCTCCATTTCATTCTATCCACATTTGCCCCTCTCTAAAATATCTCTCTTTCTCTCTCCGCACCCTCACAGTACAGTATGTGTTTCCAAGGCAACCAGTCATAAACTCAGCTCGCTGCACACCAGCTCGACGCTTCAGGAGACACTCTGAGCTCCAAACAACGACCTCACCTGAGAAGGAAAAACACATGCAAACATGGAGCGCAAGTTTTCCTGAGGGAGATTATGAGTACTTAAGAGATTTGCATTGCTGCTTATGAGGATTCATCTGTCTGGTTTGCATTGTCCGGTTTATTTTTGCACAGGCTAGATGTTGAAAAAAAAATTTCGGAGCAAGTTATGACCTGTTTTTCAATGCTTTTATACTCATTTCTACTGTCAAATGGCCAGTTTCCACTGAGTGGTGCTGTACAGTACAGCTTTTAAGGCTGTTTCCACTGTCAAAAGGTACCAAAAAGCGAACCGTACCATACAACTTTTGGGTACCATTACCATTGGGTACCTATAGCACAACAAAAGGGTTCAAATATGTGGAGAGCCACTTTTAAATGCACAGCCAAGACATTACCCGGTAATAAATACATATAATAATGAGCCATGGTTGACCCGAGCTCAGACAAACCTTGTCGTCGTCTTGATGAACAGCCGAAAAGCCAAGAAGAACAAAATCTGCTGTGTCCTGTTTTTGTTTCAAGAGGCCGTCTAAAAGTGCTAGCGGTTTCACTTTCTCCAGGGATCTCGCGATCTCTCATGTGCGCATCTGTATTTGAAATAGCGTACCTCTTGAGCTGATGATAATAACTTGCGTGTGATTATTGAAGATTTTCTGACATCCAATTCTTTCCAAAACAGACAAACGCGAGAGTGAAGCGCAAAAAACAATGGAGCAAATGATTCTTTCAGCAACCTAAAACATGAACAAACTGCCATGTTTAATTATTATTATCCCTTACTTTAATAAACTCAGAATGAGGAAATTACTTTCTACCAAGAGTTTACGTGTGCTCGTGAATATTAAAGATACAGATGAAAGGTTTGCACTGACCATTTTGGCAGTGGAAATGCAAGCCTGATAAAGGTGACCTGTACCGACCAGTACCACCAGTCCACTATTGCTACATCAATAAAAATGCTGAGTTTGAGACCAGAAATCTGTAAGAATCAGAAAAATAGTAAAATCTGAAATCAGACAGATGTGATTATGCAGAAAAAGATTGAGATTTTAAAATAAGAGTGCTTGTAGAAGTCACTAGTCTTATATTATTCTTGTGTGGCTTTAAGATCAGACTTGTCTGATATAAAAACTGATCTCAAGAGAATTTACACTCATATTATTGAGATGAGAACTTTATCCAATTGCTGAAATTAGATATTTAGAATCAGATATCTGAAATCAATCTGTTGCTCACAGAAGAGACAAGTTTGGGATCAGACTGATAAAGTTGGTAAATCAAATGTTGGATATCAGAGTTTTCAGATCAGAAGTCTGAAATGAGACTTATTTGAATGCTCTGGTCATATATTAAACTTTGATCTTAAAAAAATATTGGATCTGCTGAGATAAAAAAAAAATTATCATCAAATTGTTGAAATAAAATCGGATATCTAAAATCAGACAGTTGCAGAATGACAAGATCAGGATTTTGAGATTAAAAAGTGCAATAAGTGATTGTCTTTAAAAAAAAAATTTGTTATGCTGGTTGAACGTTTGCACATACTGATCATTAAATTTAGCGGTTTAAATATATTTGTGTATTTAATTTTTTTATGTAGGACCAAAAAAAGTTTGTTCAAGCAAAAAGTTCTACGAATCAAGTCCGAACATTATGATAGGCTTTCAAACCGACGTGTTAAAATATGTTCTATCATTGTATACCACTGCGCACCCTGTTTTGCAGGAAGGATTACGACATCTGCGCATTCACAGAAACAGTTCAAACAGAAAATAGCAGGCAAACAACAATCTACCTTCTTTTTAAGTTTGAGATTGTAATTACTTTGGGGTCGATCACACCGAATGCGTTTTTTTGTCTTGAGAGGCGCCTTTTTGAAAGATTTACTAATGTTCACGAGCATTTTGCGCACTGCTTATACTTCCTGCACGCCTTTCGTTTTAACCGCCTGCTGCACCTTGCGTTTTGCCCTTGCATGCTGTGCACTCGCAGCAGATGAAAAAAAGTCAACTCTGAACGGAAAAAGTGCGTTACTTTAGTCGCATTTTTTCAGTCTCCAATCAAATAAAAGCAGTGTGACAAAAAGTGACAGCAGTGTTTGTGTTGTCAAGATGACTTCAGAAACTTCTAAAGATGGAGCTGTATGACTTCTCAAATCTTAATTATCACAATATTATTAAATATTACAATCATTCCAATACCAACAGCAACACTCACGCAAAAAACGCAGCTGATTCAGTCATTGCCTAGACACATAAAAAGCGCACAGCACTTTTCATTCGGTGTGATCAGCCCCTAAATATGCTATATAGTTTTCTCTCTGGTGAATGTTATCATGCATTAAGGAGGTGTGGCTTTGGGTTGGTGTAGTGCAGGGTGGGATGTAGGCTTTTACTGCTATCAGGCTAATGCTTTTAAGCATTTTCCAAGATCTCCTATTGCACCTTTAAATAAGCAGTTTGATAGACTTGAAATCAAATCAGAAGTTTCAAATCACACTGTTGTGGTTGACAGAAGAAATCTGAAGTGTGAGATCAGACTGATAAGTATATTTAAATAAGAAATTTGACATTTAAATCAGTTTGACTTTTTTTAGTCTGGCCTAATATAAAACATTAAAATGTGTCATCATTTTGTCAGTTTCTGTGGTTTCAGATCAGAAGTTTCAAATCTGACTGTTGCGGCTGAAAGTAGAAAACAGAAGTGTGAGGCCAGACTAATTAGATTATAGTATTAAATCAGACGTTTGACAGATTTGACAGACGTTTTTTAATCAGTCTGCTCGGATATAAAAACTATATCATGTATTCAGGTTCTGAGGTTTCAGATTAGGTTAGAAGAGATCAGAGACTTACAGAGCTGGTTTCAACAGTCTTGTCTAATATAATTACTGATCTCAATAGAAGTGCATAATCAGACTGTCTGAAGAGATCATACATGCACAATAAGGATACAGTAATATATATATCAGGCTGACAAAATTAGAATATTTATATCTGATATCAAGTTGCTGAAATAAAAATATTGCCATCTGAAGTCCGAGATCAGACTGGTTGAAATCAGAATTCTTACATCAGACGAGTTTCAAGTTTTAATTGCTGAGCCCAATTGATGAGACGTTTCTGTGTTCATTGTGCTGAGGCCAGATTGTTGTTGAAAATTCTTGGAAGCTTGACAGTAAATCAGTCATGCCTCAACAAGTACCTCCTTTTTTTTTTTGTCAGTTGTCCATGAGCAGAAATGACACACGGAAGAACTACTGTACACAACCAGCTGAAGATCTCCAAAACGCTGGTGGTCCAGTAATGACAGTTTTCCCCGAGCCGCAGATTCCCATATGAGGTTGAGAAGTGCTTGGATTGGCAAAACTTTAGGATGTTTCCAAAACCAAGCTTCCTTCACTCCCAAACCATAATAACCAACACCACTGCGACACACAGCTGGACCACCGTGGTCCAAACCAGAACCAAGCATAATGTTTCAATTTACTGCAGCGCTGTAAAAGGTGCACAGTACGCTTGAAAAACTGAAAACAGGGTGGTTTCTGTTTATGCTTCTCGAGTGCTGTAATTACATATTTAGGGTGTTTTTGCTTATATTTAGCGTTAGACTATGCACTTCAAGACTTGTTGTAGTAACCAATGCTTCACAAGATCTTAGCAGATGCTTCGTAACCATGTCAGCAAACACAAACCTGCTCAGCACAGACAAACTTGTTCTCCAAAAACACAACCGACAACAGTATCTAAGCTGTCTTCACAAATGATTAAGTTTGCAATTACAGACTTCCTGTTTCTGCATTTCAACTCTGCTCTGGGTTTCAACTCGTGAAGGTTCATTTCAGTCTACAAGGTTACCAGATCTCATTTAACTGACATCACGGTTTCATTCATTGCAGCTCCACCAAATGACTCGGGTTCAGCCTCTATTTTTAGAAGGATATTTTAGCAGCTCACGGTTGTCTGCCTGTGGTAAAGCTCCGGTGAATGTAGGTCAGTATGTGGAGATAACCACGGCACGTGTGCATTAATCCCCCTGCAGGCCTGTGCAAACAATAGCCTTCCAAAGATTTTTTTGCTCCTGAAAACATTTACAGTATACACACCGAATTGTGTTTATGTAAGCTTAGCAATAGTCACAGCCATAATATGTTTATGAGTTGACATTCATGACTGATGATGTCGCTGTTTTTTTTTTTCCTTTTTTTCAAAAGCAGCAATGCTTATGTGACAGTTATCATATAAAATGAAAACTAGTACTCCTAAGGGATTGTAATCTCATGATGGCATTTATTTAATCGCACGGAACCAGAGCCGGTGTAAGTGATACCAGTAACTACAGATGCCGGTGATGATGTGAGGCAATGCATCTGTAATGCTACAACACACACACACACACACACACACACACAGAGAGATAAAGCACACAAACTGCTGTCAGAATAATGAATGTCTGCTTTAGTGTCGATCGATGTGCATGTGATACACATAAGCAGTATGAAAACACATGCACACTTTCATTTGCACACAAAAAACATGCAAATACATCAATAAGTATCATGAGATGTTCAAAATAATGGCCTTTTCTCTTCAAATCTTACCTCCTCTCCTCTACTTTCACCTCTTCTCTTCCCCTCTTGCTCCTATTTTTCCTTCTTTTCCCCTCAAAGCAATTCCTTTCCTCTCCCTCCCGAGTCAATC